CAAAGTCCAATGATAAATTCATATTTATACGAAGAACTGTTTACATAGAATTCAAATTTAATGTTACATGAATTATTTATAACTTTGCAAAGTTAAATTTAACTTAAACAAATAACAACTAAATGCATTTCTAATTACTATTTTCAAATATTTATAGTATAAGTACATCCTAACTAGGTTGGTACCTATTTTTTTTTTTTAATTTTTTTCACGGGCCACCGAGGTTAACCGCGCCCGTGAAGGTGCAACCCTCGAAACCCGCGGGTCATACCTCTTTGACCCATGAACCGCCCGCTCTGGTCATGGGTCGGCAAGCGGTCCCGAGTCGGACCGGTTTTCACGGGTCTGATTGGCCCGTCCGTCTTGACACCTCTAACATGACATCTCTTATAACACTCACCAATTATTTTCTCACAACCACCATCCACGTAGAAATAGCCAAAAATTAAGAGCCCTCTTCTTATAGGCATTGAGAAAGTCAGAAGCACCTCAGAGCTTACAAATAAAAGTAATACAACTCTATTAGCAAGCTGTTTCGTTCAATGAATGTGTTTGCATATCGACATCATACCAAAGCAACAAAAATACTTACATACATGATAAAATTTACTATGTATCTTTACAAATATTTTATGACCTTTACTAGTGCATAAAGAAATTTATGGAGATGCACATCTCCTTCTTCTTCTTTGGCCCTTTTCACAGATTCATTTTCAGCTTCAACTTTTCCATAGTGGATAGCAGTCAAAGAGCTACCTTACATATTGATCAAGAGATATTCTCATGCTTATGAACCATTTGGCTGTAAATAATGATAACAGTATTAGAAAAGTAACTGAAGGGAAAAAGTTTAAACAGAGCACCTGAAAGAAGTTGCAAGAAGTGGAGCTTTTTTAGTAAATTTCTAGGCTACCCCATGAGATACTGAGCAATGATTGGCCAAAAAAATTTTTTTTACTGTAATTATTTAGAAAAGGAAAAGAAAAGGCAGAAATATTAACAACGCCAACTAGGTAAACCTGTGTCTTTCAAATCTTGATGATGAGAAAGATGCTTATGATTCACAATCAATCCTTCAACCTTTTCAGCTCTTACTGGTGAGGGGTCTTTTCTTTTTATTCTTTTTATCTGGCTGGCAGGTTTGATTTTGTAAGGCTGAAATTTAATTTAAATGCTAATCCTTATCGAGGAAGTATTGCTTACATCTTCTAAAGTTGAATTTCTTATCAACAAGAAATTTCTGTGTTGGACGTGTCGTGACCTTGACGCAGAAAATGCTCTGCAATATTATTAGATGCATGATTGCATAAATAAGGCATTAACCCCGAACACCTATATCCCTTCGTTGCTGTTGAAAATTTATAACACCCTGATGTGAGGCGACATGCAGAAAATGCCTTGGAAAACATTATTACTGAGAAAATAGTTTACTATAAGATGATGAGGAAGGCAAGGGCTTGATTTGTGACTTTGATTAGGCAAATCGCATCAAACTCAAAATGATCCCCCTTGGAACATGTAGTCATTGCCATCAAATTGAATCCTTGGATGGGATGGAAAAGAACTCTAGTTCTAATGGATAACTATAATTATTAGGGTAAATGAGACATGTAGGTTCCTTCTTTTGTGGTTTGACCACTAAATGTTTTAAGTTCCTAATGGGTTCTTAATATCTCTGTGAGAAAATAAGTAGTAGGTTGATTTTCAAATATGTTTTACTTTCTCCTATTTGGTGAACTGCAGGTTCTTCTTCTTAAGGGCAATCTTCATATTTTATGGACGATATCATCATGACCATTACAGTTGGACCTTGATTTTGGGGAAGGGAGGGGGGGGGGGGGGG